TTCCTGCTGCTCAGGAAGACAAAGGCAATTAACAAGGTATCTCAAACAGTGATGTTCTCACTTCTCTGTCTCATTCCCTTTAAAAGATGGGTCTATACATATTGAACACTCAAATTTTAGCATGAGAATTCATTTTCTAAACAAAGGCAATGACGAAACTATCTAGGAACAAATGAAAATGGAAGTGTGAAGCACGTAAGAGAAAAAACAACAACCACGAAACCACTCTACAAAACCAAAGCTCTGCAGGTACTATAGTGAATAAATAAACATTTAAATTCAAATGTAAATATACCTGTTGCTTCTTGACTGTCTCCTTTCAGAGCTTCAAGTATATCTTCTAATGGGGTACACACTCCAAGGTTGGACAAAGAATAATACTTAGCAGCCAGGGCAAACAAATGCACATTGATAAGCTTCTCAGAGTTTTCACAAAACACACCGGAAAACGTGGGATCATCTGTACACAAAAGAAAACGCAAAGCTTTTTGTAAACAGTGCTTAACAGCTCTCTAATAGTGCTGACAGAGAACTACAGGCAATAAATACTTAGTATCAGGCACAATTAGTCATTTATCTTGCTTCCATAAGTGGGAAAACTCATTATTTTGCTTCATCTGTATTTCCCCTTCAGAACTGAGGTCCAATTTTGCTCTTAGCTGAACTAGTGTAAACGTGGAAGAACCTATTGTTTTAGCAAAGCTACTTTAGTATATAACTGACAAGCTAATTCAGTCAACAATATAATTTTATCTTTTGTTTACAAATTTGCTTATTACACATTTCCTAGTCAGTCCCATCTGCCAATATATGCTACTAGATTTTTTAAACAATGCAGCTGTACATTATATGAAATGTTTTGATTTAAAATCACTTTATTCATATACTTTCCAAGCTGCTTTGTAACTGGTGAATCTACTGGGAGAATTAAATTAATTTGTATTTCCAATTGGGTGTGGGCCAAAGTTAGATTCCAAAGTGTATTTTGTTAGATTAATTATTAAATACTTCAGTTTGGTATTACTTATTTCTTAGTTTCAAAAACGTCCATTATTTTTAAGTGAAACTTATTAGTATGAATAATGTATTAATTCTGAGTTTTGCATTATCTAATTCCTCTCTATTTTAGCTAAAACTACTTGTGAATTCTAAATAGTTTTATTTATAATTTTTAGATATTTGTGATTGTTTTAAATATATAAAAGGTAACCAGTCCAGCAAAAAACTGTCACAAAGATTTGGAAAATGTTTTCTGGTTTGTCTTTTGTGTCATGGGTAGCTGTTGAGCAAGTACACACCTAGCACAGGACTGTCCTGAATCTGGCATGACAATGGATACAGCTGCTTTTATTGATCTCACCTCTAATGCTCTTAATTTTCTTGCATAACCGCAGTTAAAGGTCACATGCATATATTAGAATTTAATTAAAGCACTCTCAACAGTGTCAACGTGTTAATTTTCATGGTATGACACTACAAAGGCATAAGTGCAGCAAACACCTTTTGGATCTAAGAAAGAATATTGTGCAAGCTATGAGCAGAATTAACATGATTTCAGCATCTGCATGGCAATTCTTATTCTACTTCTCTCTTCTACAAAATCAAAAAAGAAAGATGCCTTCCTCTAAAAAGAACTTCCCTATCTGAACTTCTGAACATCCATTAAATTTTAGTTACTGAACCTTCATGAAGAATAAGAATGCAATGAGACATTAGAGAACAGAAATGAAGACTGCACCTTTTAGGGAGAAGGGGCAATTTTGCTTTCCAATGTCTCAGTAATATAAACTACAGAAAGATACAAAATTAGATGTGTGCATTTTGAAATGACTGAAAAAAAATAAATTTGGTCTCTAATAACACTTTCAAATCAAGCAAATAATGGAAGAGACTAACATAATGGGTTAAGATAATCAAAACTTTTGAACAATGGACAGAATTGGTTTTATGTTTTTCAATAAAGAAAGTTTCAACAAAAGGGGAATATCTACACCCAGAGAGTACTTTCCTTTCTGCTGGGTAAATGTTATGCAAAGCGTTCTTACAAGAATTATCACATCTTGAGTTATTGCTGAAGAAGAAAATTTCAGTTTATTTTTAAGGCAGGTCCACTTATTTAACTTATTTTAGATTTTCTGGGAAAGAACAGCATTCCAGAAAATTTACACATGTTTACAAAATCCATGTAGTCTGAATCAGTAAAAAATGCATAGAAATCTTTAGGTTTGATGCAGTGGGAAAAAAATCACTAATCTGTCAAGAAAGAGAACAAGGTTTAAAAGACTAATCAAGCAATTAATTATATGTCAACAATTGCTGAGAAAGCAACAGACATGAGAAATTAAGTCAAAAGTTGAAGAGGGATATCTTAACCAGCCAGCCATTCAGGAGTTTTGCCAGGTGAAAAAGAAATCTAATTTTTCTTGATGAGAAGTGGGTATTCCACTTTGTCTCATGCATATTATGACCACTTTGAATTAGTATAGTATTTTGTTTAACACATTAACAAAAAGTCTGGCACATCTAATATACATTCATGTTATTCTTGTTCTCCAATTTTTATTTCCTCAGTGACCAATACAGCCACATCAGCCCTCCAGTGCATGGTACAAATATATACATATATATATATGGTATAGATGCTGGAAAAGGTTTGTTTCAAAGCCTCAGACTTTACTATATCGCAACCCAGAACAGCATCCCAGTTCAACACAATTTTCTACAATGTCTAGGTCAGGATATATATATATATCTTCATCTGAAAAAGTCATTCCGAGCAGAAAACAGTTTATTCAAAAAATGGGCACCAATATGCACACAAGGATGACATTCCTGCACAAGCTATCACAATTAAATATTTTGTTTAGCTAATTACATCAGTACTGTACTGAAGCTCTACCTGGAGTGAAAGCTATGGATCCCACACCAATTTCTACTGCAAGGTCTACAGTCTCCTTTCTTCAAACCTGACCAAGTCTTTGCGTACCCTAAGGGCCATGCCCTTAACATCTGCCAAAAGACAACCAAGAATGCCACTGACCTAAGATATGTGGCTTCTACAACACACCCACCATCCAAAACACAGCAAAACCCGTATTTCCCACCTCCACTCTAAGGAATACATGTCATCAGCCACATCGACAACTTTAAGCCAAGAGTCACTGTGGAAATAAACATCATGTGAACTACATATATAAACTCATTACAGTACAGAAAGAAAAACACTACCCCAACACAGATATGGAAAACCATTAAACCTATACCCTTGAAGAAATTAACCCTCATTTTTCCCATCTGACTTTCAAGTAGCTTACCAAAATCAACAGTATAAACTAATATTCTGCAGACTAGAGTTCATGATATT